TAAATATGAAGATGAAGAAACAAGTGATAACGATGAAGACAAAAAAAAAGGCAAAAGTGAAGATAAAGACGAAAATTGGGATAAAGGCGAAAATGGAGACAATGAGAAATACATAAGAATTAGGTTAAAAGAGCTGAAATTTTTCGATAGGAATCGAAATAAAATCAGCCATAAAGGTTACTGAAATTTATCGAATCATCGAAGTTTATAATTATTGAAATTTATCCATGCTTATTAAGTTATCGCAACGTATCGAGTTATTCAAACTGATCAATGCTTACTGAGTTGTCGAAATTTATAGACACAGAAACTTATTTGTCCAAATTTACGGATAGTTATCGAGCTATAAAAACGTGTGGCATTAACGAAATTTGTCAATTTAAAGAAATGTATCAAGTTATCGATATTTATTGAATTATCATTATTTATAGACTTTACGAAATTTATCGAGTTGTAGTAATGCATGGAGTTCTTTCAACTTACAGAGTTATCGATAATTATTGATCTACTGAAATTGGTTGATTCATTGAATCGAAGTTTATGGAATTTTCAAAATATATCCATTAATCGAAATTTCAAGATTATATAAGCTTATCGATTTATCACTGCTTACCGAATTTTATCGTGCTAACAGAGTGTAATGAGTTATAAAAATTTTTCGATAGCTTTAGAAAAGTGTGGAGCTGTCAAAAGTAAAAATTTTTAAAGGTATCCATAGAATTTACATTTTTGAGTTATCGAAATTTATCGAGCCCTCGAATTTCACAGTTATTGAGTCGAGTAAACGAATTTTGTTGAGTTATCGGATTTTAGTGTTTTTGAAATTCATCGAACTATCGATATGTATCAAATCATTAATATTTATCAATAAAGTGGAATGTATCGGGTCCATTCTAAGTCCTGCTGAAGTCCAAAGACCTTCTAAGATAAAAAAATTTTAGTTTCGTTTTAGTTCCAAAGCAGAAGATGTTCCGGTAAGTTAATTTGTACCGTATAAGTTTTGCTACGTGTTAAGTTAGAAACCCTCTCCAAGGCTCCTAATAACTAGAAAAACTGTCAAATTTCGGCAGTAACTGGCACTCTAGTTTTTATTAATATTACAAAAATTAATAAATTATTTTATTTTTTTACTTTAAAAACATCGAAATATGTTTAAGCCCATTTTTTAAATAAATTTAAGGTTTTAATAAGACAAAATTCGTACTTTTTTCAAAGTATTAAAGGATATAAAAAACAAAATTGAAGTTATTTAGTTAGGAATACCTTCATAGCCAAAATTATCGACATGAGTAGATATCGATACTTTATATCCGATATTTGTCAGGTATCGATACTACTTTCAAGTTGTCGTTCGTTTCATCTCTAAGCACAACCAATCAAAGCCAAATAAATGTATATGTCCTGGTGTAATTTTTTGAGTTTGTGTATTTGGGTCTGTGTAAACCTCTAAAAATTATTTTAATGGTCAGTACTGGATGATCTTTACAAATATTATAAATGTGAAAGTGATTTGGTCTGTTTGGTACGGTCTCACGCTTTAACTGTTCAACCAATCATAATGAAACTGGTGCCATTCAGACCAACTTAAAAGCTAAGATAGCTTTTATCTCGATTTTAAGAAGGGGCGGGGCACCGAACGGAATTTTTCATACCTCAGAAAGTATTTGTGGTAGAGTACAGGAACTTAGCATTGAGATATGCGAAATCATAACTATACTCATGACAAAAATGGGGGTTATTGGAAGAGGGCTCGTAGCGTCTCCCATACAGACTGAATTTTTTATACTACGAGGTGGTAAAAAATTAAATTCAACTCACAGGATTTGACAAGTACAGTGAAAACCGCTTAAGCAAAATCTTAAGCTTAGGTTTATAAGATATCATTATACTATAAATATGTATAATCAATGCCTTTTTAAAGAATTTAATTCTTGTAAAAATTACATACTGTTTAGGCCTTCATGCAAAACCAAATGATTTAAAAGTCGAACCACCCTAATGTAAAAGTGCATTGACTTGAGCCGAGCACACAAACATACTCAGGCATATATACGGCCTACCTTTATTGCTACGCCGTTAGCAATACATGTATTATTTCCCGTTGTAATATAATTTCGTTAAGTTTCCCCTCCGAGCAGTTGGCTGCCGGCGGGTAAACTTAACTTTGTCAAAGCGGGATTTTTTCACTTCATTCGAGCTATCAAGGAGAGCGGACGACTTCAGCCATCACCCAGCGATACATATTCAAAGGTAATCATATTGTACACCCACTGAGTTATTCGATAATAAAGCCAATTGAAATTATAGCTATTATCTACTAATACACTTGGTTGTGTTTCATTTCATTTTCTTTTTTTATACCCGAGCGCACTTGTGCACAAGGGTATTATAACTTTGTTCACATAACGGTTGTTTGTAACAGGCAAAACGAATCGAGATAGATATAGACAAATGTATACATAAATGATCAGAATGAAAAGAGAAATCGATTAAGCGGTGACTGTCTGTCCGTCCGTCCGTCCGTCTGTGCACACGATAACTCGAGTAAAAATTGAGATATCTTAACGAAACTTGGTACGTGAACTTCTTTTGGGCGTGGGACGGATGGTATTGACAATGGGCGAAATCGGATAATAACCACGCCTACCTCCCATATAACGGTAATTTTCAGAAATACGAAAACTGCGATATTTTAGTAACTACTGAAGATAATTCACTCAAAATTGATACTTACAATAAGTTTCAGACGGAAAATATGAATATTATAAATTTTTGGAAAATGGGCGTAGCCACGCCCACTTATGGTTACATGTGTATATCTTGGTAACCGCTGCACCAATTTCTTCCAAACTTGGCACAGTTGTTGGCCTTAGTACAGCATACTAATTGGCTGAAAATTTTAAAAATCGGACAATAACCACGCCTACCTCCCATATAACGGTAATTTTCAGAAAAACGAAAACTGCGATATTTTAGTAACTACTGAAGAAAATTCACTCAAAATTGATATTTGCAATGAGTTTTAGACGAAAAATAAGAATATTACAAAATTTTGGCAAATGGGCGTAGCCACGCCCACTTATGGTTACATGTGTATATCTTGGTAACCGCTACACCAATTTCTTCCAAACTTGGCACAGTTGTGGGTCCTGGTACAGCATACCAACTGGCCGAAAATTTCTAAAATCGGACAATAACTACGCCCACATCCCATATAACGGTAATTTCGAGAAATACAAAATCTTCGATAAATCAGTAAATATTGAAGCTAATTTATTCAAAATTGATGATTGCAACAGTTCTTTACCGAGAAATACGTTTATGACAAAATTTTGGAAAATGGGCG